AATTATCGATGATAATTAATAGTATTTCCATAAACAAGGTAGAATGCTACGTGTGACCTTATGCAATGAATTGCTTGACGGCCGTGCTACAGCAGTGAACATAGCTGAAACAGTCCAATCTGTGATCAGAGAATGGAACTTAAGGGATAAAGTAATAGCTGTAGTACACGATAGTGCAAGTGCTATGATTTCAGCTGGAAATCTTATGAACACAATCCCTTATAGCATCCGATGCAATGCTCACCTTTTGTAACTTTGTGTAAAAGATGCTCTGAAAACTTTTCCGGCATATAATGATTTATGCACAAAAGGTCGTTCCATTACAACCCATTTTCATAAATCTAATGTAGCTAGTAAAGCTTTATGTCAAAGGCAGACACAGTTGCAACAAAATTCAGAACAATTAGTACAAAGTTGTGAGACAAGGTGGAATTCGAAATTGGAAATTTGTGAAAGTCTCCTACGAAATCGACAAGCGATTTCCCTTGTGCTGACTGATTCTGAAATAACAACAAAGGCTTTAGCTCAAAAATTAGAAATTACGTCAAAAGAATGGTCTCAAATGAAAGAAATGGTAACAATTTTAAAACCATTTCAAGTAGCCACTACAATATTTTGCAGCAAAGAGATACCAACATTGTCTAGCGTAAGGCCCATTATTAATAGTATTATAACAAAGCATATGCTTATTTTGCCAAGTGATAGTCAAAACGTAAGACAATTCAAAATCACGGCCTGTTCGTCACTGAAATCAAGGTTTGAATTTGAAGTCGATTTTGTTAATGATGTTGATGAAGGACCAAAACCCATTTCAGCTGCGCAAATTTCTAGTTTTCTAGATCCTAGGTATAAATCTTTAGATGTTGAAATAATGAGGCGGGATATTATCGAGCACGTCAAAAGTTTAATTCACGATGATGAACCTATGGATGTTGATTCTAACGAAATGATCAAAGAAACGGCATTAGATTTTTTATTCCAGTCAGATTCCATTAACAATGCACAATCTCAGTTTGATTTATATGTATCTGAATCACAAATTGGACACAATTTGGATTCATTGCTATGGTGG